ATAATAAATGAATAAGTAACACTAATCAGAACTCAATATCAATACCTAGAACGTAATCACTAGATATTCGTTGACTTAAACTGACGTGCATGCAATTACAGTGTTAATATTATCTACTTTATTTTACAAGTGAGAATTGCAGGTTTAGATGACATTATGTATTGACATAGTTTGCAAATGAGTTGTATCATTTATTGATTACAGTGTGCTATGTACTTAAAATTTTCTTCAACTTCTTACTGTATATTTTTTATATTTATTTTTAAGGTCACTTGACATATTTTACTCAGATTACCTCATTACTTCTAAGAAACCTCTGATGGTCATATCGATGATCTAATATATACAATAGATCCTGGCTCGTTATTTCATTTAGTGGTTATATAGACCAAGAGGGAATCTGAATATTGATTCAGGGAATGGGTACTAACAATCATGTATGAACAAAGGATCCAGTGCAGTGAGCCAAACATAAGATTGCATCTCATGAACAACATTGGCTTTTTTTATTTATTTGCCTGACCAATGATTAGTTCAGTCATTAGGTGAGATCAATGATTAGGTGAAAGTTCTTGGCTTATTAAGCCTTTGTTTTTCCTTGTTAGATAATCACTAGAGGAAGGGTGAGTAGAGTACAGTGAGATATTTTGAGAGAGACCACATTTACTTAGTTTCATAATTTATAAATTAAACTTTATCATATGTATGTATAGGAAAAAACATAGTATATATAGGGTTCAGTACTACTCAAGTTATAGGCATCCACTGGGGGCGTCTTGGAACATATCCCTCCATGGATAAGGGGGGACGACTATAATTAGCTTTGATTGGAATTCAAGCTCTGACACCTGCTAGTGGTATTAGTTTCCCTTTCTGAACCTCATATTCCTGACCTTTATAATATTGACCTCATAAGGATAAGTGATATGTGTCTCACACATAACAGGCACTCAGGAAATATTTCTAGCCATAGTACCCATAATTTGTATTCAGCTCAATAAAATTGCATGAGAATTCTCAGCTGTGGGAAAGTTAAGGGGCAATATGTCTTAAAGTTGGGAGAGGACTGCCATTTAACAATAGCTTTCCCTTAGGGAAAAACTAACTTCTGTGTTGTAGGTATGTTATAATTTTAATAAATACAAACTATTTTATTTTTTTTAATACAAACTATTTTAATCAAATAGATTTATGTATTTTTTTTGGTAGAAAAGTTGGGAAAGCCATCAAATTTTCATGATAAATGAGGTAATATTTTGAATTGGGCATATGTAGCTCTTATTTTCTTTTGAAACTTCATTTGCAAGTTTATGTTCAGTCATAAAACGTTCTCTGCATTGGTTTGAAAATGACAGCCATTTGTTTTTATTATTTCAACTGGAAGGATTTTAATGAAGAGAATGGCAGACTGCCCTGCGCTGTGCCTCTAGTGTCCACAGCCACAAGCCTCTTCTGCATGCTCAGCACGACTCCTAGATAGATATTACTGCAGATAGCAGATGTAATTTGCTGGGAGCATTCCTGAACTACTCTTTTTCTGCTCCTCCACTAAGCCCGTTCATAGGAGAATTTCTTCCTTCACAACGAAGAAATTTCAGTAAAGGGTAAGATCAATAATGAATGTTAAAGAAACTTCAGCATAACTAGTTTAATTAAACTACTCTAGACTTGATACCAGTGTCTGTAGAAATGAAACAGAAAGAGGAAGGTGACTAGTGGTCAGCCACGTGGTTTTAAAATCTCTCTCTGCATTCACAGCCCCAACCCTGTCCTTGTGTGGGAAAGAAAAGAAACTCAAAGTCGGAGAACGTTGAATGCCTGGAGCTAAAAAAGGCTTTCTGATTAGTGATAGCAAGGGTTTTATAGCAAGGGTTTTACGTAGACAACTTACTGAAAGAAAACTCCCAAGGGGTTGATGTTTTCTCCTAGGTTAACAAGAAAGGGAAATTCTGATCTGGAAGGGCTGCACATAAGATATTTCTGAAAAATGAACACCGAGTGAGGTTTAGCTAAATTGAAACGCAACTAATTTATTTTTCATTTTCTACTGCATGGGGGCAGAGTTGGTTTGGTATCCTTTTTTGTTGTTTTTGTTTTCGTAAAATAAAGAAAAGCAGCTTTCTTTTGCTAGTGGATTCTGTCCCATAATGCTTATAATTTTATAGCACAAATAAGATCAGAAAGAGTGATCTTGTACAGCTATCTTTAGCTTTCATTTAGAGTTGACATACATTTAGTGCGTAGAATCTTAGGCTTATCCCCAAAGCATTAATGTTTTATTTTACGCAGTGTTAGTGCATAGTAACAAGGAGGGGTGACTTTCGTAGGCCTCAGGCTTGGATGGCTCTTTCCTTTCCCTGGTCTCCTCATGCATTATAGGTGTTTTGCATTTAATATCCAGTGTTTACAGAAGTCCAGTGTCTCTGATAGAAATCAAAGATAAAGCTTATATAAGAATCTTTAAGGTGGCTTTGCTCTTAATAGAATATCAACCGTAGTTAACCAATTTTTGACAATTTTAAATGATCTTTTTCTCTTGCTAACTTGAAGCATGCTGTTATTGTACTTTCACTGATGCTTACCAACAGATGATTTTTATTTTTTCTGTTTTTGCTAAATAGGCGTCATCTGGTATAAGGTTAAATGAGATTTCCTGGTAATGTTCCATAATAAATACACAACTATTAGTGATGTTTTCCTAATTTTGCCTACAGTTTAACGCATGGGATGGGATGTTTAATGCAGCTAATAAATACAGGGTGGGGCAAAAGTAGGTTTATAGTTGTTAGTATGGAAAATAATACAATAATTAATAAGTAATAATACAAGAATAAACTGTGTGTTTCTTGTACTCAGTTGTAAACCTACTTTTTGCCCAACCCCATATAAGCAGGTTACTGTGTAAAGGACAGTACCTGTAACTGTACCTTGTGAGTGGTGTATAAAACGTTGAAGACTCCTGTTAGGATATAAACAGCGCTGAGGCATGTTCCTGGAAGTCATTCTTCAGCTTTGGAAGGTTTAGTAGTAATGATGCATTAATTGACTTTTTACATGACAGAGTAATAGGATACCTAGATCTAAAAAAAAAAATCTTGACTGAGGTTTGGTGGACAATGGCATGTGGTTTATAGAAACAAGATTAGTATGAAATTGTTTGAATCTTCTTACTTGGAGGCTAAGAAAAAATGTACGAGGTTGTACATTAGAAGTGGCTTTGATCTTTTAAAAAGTCGTAGTTATTTATAGTTTAAGTAGAAATGTTCTGTTTCTGTTTTTATTAAGAAGTGAGCCATTACTTAGCAGGGGTTTCATCTGTGCACTGTGTCTTTACACTCCCAGTTCTTCTCTGAAGTCCTTGGGGAAAAAGCATTTTCTAAAAATCTAAAAACAAACTGGTTATTAATATGTGGGACCAGGTTACCCTTTTGTGTGGAAAGAAAATTTAATAGCCCTTTTCTGATTCTGTTTCTTGTTTTGTTTTGTTTTTGTTTTTACTGAACTTCATTTTGCAGGTAGTTACAGAGTTGGCATCTATGCTTGTGAGTGTCCTCTGGCTCGATTTTGATTTAGGAGCAGTGTTTTCTTGGGATTAAGTTTCACCATATTTGATTATTTATTCATTCTGTCCTTAGCTGATTGTGGTTTGCTAAGTATTTCAGTTTTCATTAACATTTTTAAATGGAAAGATTGTTCTTAATTTGGATCACAGCAGTAAAATCTTTTGACTTAGTTTCCAAAATTGCATTTAAAACGTGAGCTTTGCCTTTTTTAAATTCCTCACTTGAGGACATATTTTAGAGAGGGGAGGGCCATAGAGAGAGAGGAACATCGATGTGAGAAACATTGATCGGTCTCCTTCCTTCCATGCTTGCCCCAGCCGGGGATCGAACCTGCAATCGAGGTATGTGCCCTGACCTGGAATCAAACTGGCGACCCTTCAGTGCGCAGGATGACGCTCGACCACCTGAGCCACTCTGGCCGGGCAAAACTGGAGCTTTTGAAAATAATTTTATTTGATGTGAAAGTGATTGGATCTAGGTTGTAGAATGAAAAAAAATAAAATTGTTATTCTTTTTACTTACTCATTGCACTGTGATGGGCAAACTTCAGCTTTATTTGCGTAAAAGAAGCTACGGTTTTATTACGTTCCAAAACCAGTTTCTGTTTGTTAGAAACAGTCATTTATACCGTCTCATAATTGACTAGAGCATACTTTTAAAAATTGTGTTTTGCATTCAGATTTTATGAATACAGTGAAATTTTAGTGTAGTTCAAATCTGTTCATAAAATACTGTGTCCTGGCCAAAGACCACAAAAGAGGCCTTGGCTGTGTGGTTTCCTTCTTTTCCCCTCACTAACAGAGGTTTTCCTATCTTGGCAGCTGTTTCCTAGAAGGCAGTCATCAGCCCCTGATTTCTTCCTTCCCTTTCTTCCCACAAACAAGGACTCTTTCAAAGAGCTGATGACTGAAGACAGACTGATCTTGGATCGCTTTAAGAAAGTGGAAATGTGTTCAGGAGTTGTGCATGTGGGCAATCGGCCTGTGTGCACTAGTTCATTGACATGCAAGTGCCCGTTACAACCCAAACTTGGACAGTCAGAATTCTTTGCTGGAATCAGGAGCATTCCAAAGGCTCACTTAATTCTCCTTGTGGTAGTGAATGTACCTCCTTCACACATTAAAATTACTCTACTTGCTTCATCAGGTCATTGAACAGGGTCTAAGAAATTGTGTATTGATGAGACTTTTCGATGTGACAGGCCATGAAATGATCTGATTTCTCTTTTTGCTTTCCAGAGTAGAGCTTGCGGTTCTAAGGCAGGGACCTTGCCCCAGCAGTTGTGAACTGCAGGTTTACTTTTGGTTTTGTCTTTGGGGTAGTCTTTGGGAGCTCAGAGTGAAAAATGGATAGAGGGAGCTAGCCAGTTCCGCAGGGTTGTGTGCCCTGGGTCTCCATCACATTAATTTTCAATGTATCATTCTTCTTTTTGTATTTTTGGCATTCAGAAGAGGAAACTTGCTCTTTTCTTTGATTTTTGTCATATTTCTTTGGACAGAGAAGCATCTGAGATGTTCTCAGAACTGGGTAATAAGAATTATGACTCTCCTCATCATGATACCTAGCTGTCTTCAGAGACAGCTAAAAACAATTGGGTTGATTATGGGTGATGGAGGCATATATGGGGAGGCAGTTTCATCTCTAGAACTTGTAGGCATGATAAGACAGACTTCTGAGTACAGAAATTTCTTGCTAGATTCATCTATGATTTTGTGGATCTTTATATTAAAGCAGTAGATGATAGCTTTAGATTAATTTCTTAACATTCTTTTCGGTGTGTTTGCTGGTAAAGGAATATAGTGACTTTATAACGTGGTAAGTGTTCCAAACTATTTAAATCTGACAGCTTTTCCCCTGAAGTTACATTATAAGGAACTGATAATAAAATATAATGAACTGCTAACAGAATCACATATGATACACGAAACATGTAGCAAATGCAGAGTAGCTCAGATAATGTAAAACAGAGAACTCAAAGTTACCTAGGAAAATTTGTTGTCTAAATTTTCTTTGTGTTAGTGACGGCATCTGAACGACATGACTGCATTTTATTTGCGTTATAGACAACCTCAGAGTGGAGTTTATTCCCCTCACTGCCCCACTTTTAAAAATGTTATTTGCAACAGGTTAAGGGATAGCTTAAGAAAATTAGGTGAGAGTATCACTTAGAAGAAAATAATAGGAAATTAATATAAAAAATAAAGAAACAGTTAAAATGTCTCCGTAAAGGAAAAAAAAAATTAATTTCTTTACTCTTAGAAGCTGGACCAGGAGGCTGGATATATTTGGGAACTGCCTGCATTTTACATGTATTATAAAGCTATTATTTATTCTGTGATTCCTCATGCTACCCTAAAAGTAAAATACTTCAGTGGAACTCGGCAGACGACCTGGTCTCCTGATCCTAGGAACAGAGAAATAGTGATTAAGTCGCATGTCTGAAATTTCCATGCTGTCTCTCCAGTTGAAGAACTGGATCCTTAAGGGCCGGTCAGAATTAGACTTGGCTCAGGGTTATATATAGGGTTATATATTTTTTGCCACCTCTCTTCCAGTTTTTTTTTTTTTTTTTAAATAGAGAGGCAACCTTGGAGATAAAATCATTATGGTCTTGGGTTGTTTTTTTTTAATTGTCGTTTGTTAGTCTTCACTCGAGATATTTTTCCATGGATTTTAGATAGAATGCAAGGGGAGGAAGGAGGGAGGGAGAGAGAGAGAGCGAGACATCGACGTGAGAGAGACACACTGATTGGTTGCCTTCCATACATGCCCCAGCCAGGGCCAGGGCCAGGGATCCATCCACCCGGCAGCCCAGGTACATGCCCTTGACTGGGAGTCGAACCTTCCACCCTCATGCTCTAACCGCTGAGCAACACTGGCCAGGGCTGGTCTTGGGTTTTTATTTGGGTGGATGGAGCAACCTAATCAAGGATATAGGTTTGATCTTATTAAGTTATATCTTGCTGTAAGGAAAACCGATATATGAAAATCTTAAGCTTTCAAATGAAATCGTGAAGAGACTATGAAACTGCTTCCTTCCTCTATGAATAATAGCTGTCAGAGAAATAACAATTGGATATGTGGTATCTGGAAATGTGGTGTTTTGGAATGCCATCATTATATAAAGTTAACAACCATATGTTAAAAATTGTGCACCCTTGTACAGAAAAAGAAACCATTTGATTGTATCTCTACTCTGTCTTGCAAGATAACATGATAAAATTGTGGATGATATTACTGTTAGTTACTATTACTAGAAACGAACCAAAAAAATATATGTTTTTATAAAATTTTGTTAGAGGCATTATGTATTAAAGCTAGTACAGGTGACCCTTGAACAATATAGGGGCTGGGGCGCCAATCCTGTACTGTTGAAAAATTTGCATATAACTTTTGACTCCCCAAAAACTTAAAGTTCTACCTTGAATCTGTGGGGATTTGTTCCAGAACATCCCCAAACCACAGATGCTGAAGTCCCCTATAAAATAGCATAGATCAGGGCATACAGTCAGCCCTTTGCATCTGGAGGCTCTCAAAGGTGAATAATAAAAAAAGTACAGGTATTTCCTGATAATAACTGGACTCTCACAGTTAAAATCTGTGTTGTTCAGGGGTCAACTGTAATGTGATAAAAAGACTAATATTGGCATGGAACGACAGATGAATTATTCTAGAATGACTTTCTAAGCTTTTCAAAGAAAAACTCATTAGGAATTTATATGTGATTTCATATGTTCTGGTTGTCTGTAAGTGCCTTTTGGGTTTTGATCTTTTTTGAGATGTGAGGCTCCACTATCCAGCGTGTACAGGTACAGGTTCCATGTTGGATATAGAATCAAAGTATATACCCTTTTTTTTTTTAATATTTAGGAGATGGAGGAAGGGGGGAAAGAGAGTTATTGTTATGACTATTTTTGCATTTTTTGGTAATAAACTGGAACCGTAGAGTAAATGATGGATTTGTTTGTTTTTCAGATATGAGGATCAATGATGCAGACTGCTGGGTTTGATGAAGCTGGGCGTTTTTAACTAGATTCATTGAGGAATACAAAGAATATATTTAAAGGGATCAATAATGGTGTCTTCTGGTTGCAGAATGCGAAGTCTGTGGTTCATCATTATAATCAGCTTCTTACCGAACACAGAAGGTAAGATGAAGTTTAGATATTATTGTTTACATCCAGGACACTGAAACTATGCCATGCTACTTACGTAGAAGTAGCTAGAGAGTATTATTTTATTATTTTAGGAACAGGTGTTAAAAAAGACTTTCTGAATGTTGAATTATTTTCATGACACAGCTATATATTATAGAAAGTGCTAGAAGTCTGGATTTATATTTTACATAAATTTATAAATATAATAATTGTAAGTAATCCTGGGATAAATAAATGAAAGCTTTGTTTTAATTTTATATTTTACATTTGTGGACTAAATTTATTCTAGTAAAATTGCAGGTGTTTTGTAGCAATTCTTTTACTTTCATCTTTAGTTTTGTCTGCTTCTTGATGTGGTCATAGTTCTAAAACTATTAAATAAAATTTTTCATATCCCCTGGAAGACAGTTTTTATAGTGCTGCCATTTTAATGTTACCTATATCTTTTTAATGACATCTGATTTTTTAAAGAATTACATACACTTTTGAGGCTTCATGAAATAATTGGAACCATCATTTATCAATTACTGTATGGATTTCCTGGTGTCCATTATTTCTGCAGACATATTTTTCCATGTGAAAGTAACACCCTTCCAGGTGCCTTTTACAGAGCAGGTCAGAAGTTAATATGGAGCTAAGATGTGTTAAGTTTATAGCTAGTTGATAGTGGTAGTTGTATTTGGCATGAAAATATGTTAGTCTTGTAAAATCTGTAAAGATTACAAGATCTCTGAGAAATGCATGTAAAATGCAATGGATAGTTTTGGTCCCAATTAAGTATTCTTGAAAAAAGTTTTAGAATTTTAAAATTGGCTTACTATGTACTTTTAAGTGTGATCACATTTATACCTATTAGTAAAACAATAGGTGGAGAAAAAGAGGCCTATGCTTATTATTCCAATGTCTTTGTAATAAGCTTCAAAATGTTAACATTTTAATTTTGCCCAAAGAATTTTATTTGAATTGCTTATTTCAAAATTGCTTCATTTCTCCTCCCCTCAAAGTTTCCTACTTGCAATATGTTGCCATAACTTAATAATAGAATTCAAATAAATAACACATTTAGGAATATTTTTAAATCAGAACTTCTGTATTCAGAATGTAAATAATATTGACTTGGATTTAAGTCACACATGAAAGTTACAAATGGGTTAATATTTTATTTGAGAATACTGCTCTTTGCATCAGAATTGAAAGGTACCAAATCTAACGTTGAAATGTAATATGTCTGAATGAACAGTACTGTAATGATAAGCAATGAGCAGAAACGGAATTTAATAATAACAATCTCTGGCTTGGATTGTTATAAAAATCTTGTGTGTAATCTATAATTTTGCATCTGTTTTTTTTTGGGAGGGGGGTTGGAGACTAACTAAATTTCTGCTGCTATGTTTGAATGATTTTATACATTTGAGAAAATTTGCAGGTGAGGAACCAATGGCTCATTAGTTCACATAATGAAAAAATTTTCCAATCAAGATACAGACCCCTTTGCTGGCACAGTAGCGGAACTCAGCAGGGGGCTAGCAAACGGAGACTTTTTCATGAGATACTGCAGTTTTATTTCTGGGGTCCCCTATCAGGTCAGGATTCATATCTGCTATTAAGAGAAATTTCATTTTGGCACATCAGGCCACAGGGTGTTGCTTCTGAAGCATTTCCCTTCTGCGGGTGATAAGAACCTGGGAGAAACACACACGGCTAGTTGTGGGAGTATACAGGCGAATGCCCGCTGTTAAGACAGCTTCACATGGTTTTGTCTTAGAAAAGTTTTACATGACATGCTCTTCCTTTATTGCCAGAGAGCAGATAATGCCTTGTGAACACCTGTAGAGAAAACCAGTCAGAGTTGGGTGTGAGAGCACAGGAAAGAAGATGTAAATGTAACTATTCAACCATTAAATATCATCCGGTCCCTTACAGGATTGTTCCCTTTTCAAAACTTGAGGGAGGTGAGCACTTTTGTATCAGTACTTAGATCCTTACAGATAGACTCAGATAAGGTTTCCTCCCTCCTTGCTCACTTAGTGAGTGGCTAAATTGAGCCAGGTGCTTAGGATTAAAAAATGTGCCAGGCACAGCTTCTGCTCTTGGGCCCGTCTTGTGCGCAGGGGTGGAAACCTCAAATGCCTATTGGGGCTCAGCAGACAAAGTAACTTGAGCGTATGTTCCAGGCCAGTGGAGGTCTGCAGCAGGCAGCAGAGTGCTTGCTGGGGGACCCATGATGGCCATTTGTTTTAGCCTGGTTTTGCCAGTTTTCTGGCTTTGTAATACAAAGCAGACATTAGGTTTTTAAGTATAGTAGTCACTAATCAAGTTTTTTAAAAAAACAAAACAAGCCTTTGTATTGGGTTGAGCCGTAAACCATGCCTTCCTTTTTGGCGCGCTGTTTTCTCCTGTTTACAGTAGTGTTTTAACTTAGTATATGATTTTAAAGGCTTAACATAATTTTGGATTTGTTTTACATCTATACATAGGAGAGGTGAATTTCCACATTTGCAGGAAGGACTTGTTTGTTCTGTGTTCAGATGAACGTTTTAAATACATCATGTTTTGTGCGTCTATAAGAGAAAATCACTGAGCATTTCTATAACTTTTACTATGGTAAAAGCTGATTATTTATATAAAGGTTTAATTGTTAGAATTAGCTCATCTCCCTCTCTCTCTGTGTCTTTCAATTAATATTTAAGAATCAAGTCTTACCCATTAAAATTTACGTTTCTGAAAAACAGGAACAGTGTTTTGTTTATCCTTAAAGCTTCTACTCCCTGTGTATTTTTAAAAATGATGTTTAGAATTTCCAAATAAAAAATGATTATAAAAGAGCAGACTTCAAACTATTTTGTAAGTTTTTCATAGAATTGATTTGATTCCTAGAGAACTAACCTCAAGCCCTTCAAAAATTAGTTTTGTTGAGAAACTGGTGTGTTTTTATTCTTTGGGCTGATTTTTATAAGCATAGTAACCCACTGTGGAATCATGTATCAGTAAGTAGGAAAGTAAATTGAATTTTTGTGTCCTAGAGAATTAAATTATGGTATATAATGGAGCCCTGGAAAGTATAAGTCAGACATATGAAGGCTTGCTCAAGTGACAAGTTACAAATAATAGCAGTTCTTCAGCAAAGTCAGTAATATGGATTTCAGGTTGAATTTTTATGCAGTGGGTATGTAATTAGATTTCTTTAGTCAGAATTTTAGTTAATTAACTCAAATTACATTTCTGCTTATCCTTATTTCAAAGAAAAATATTATGCCAGGTATAAATGCCAGATATTCCAGATACAGTTACAAGTATTTATTTTATATACATCAAGACAATTTTAGAACATAGCTGTAGAAATAGTATCGTACCCGTTTTTAATGTATTTTTAAATTCTTTAAGCACATTTTACAGTGACTTTGGGTAAATGATATCTTACTAAAAAATGATGTTTGGTTGTGGGGTCTTTTCGCTAGTTGTGTGGCAGAAAAAAAATTAGATCTAGGTGTTATATATGAGTTAGAAAAACTTTTTGGCATATAAGTATTTCCTTCAGAGTGGCCTATAATTTAGTGGAAGGAATAGTAGGTTTGTTCACCAAGGATAAATTTAAGAAGGATTAAAATAATTCAGACCTATAGTCATTTTTACTTTCTTTTATTAACACACGTATAATGAAATGTATAAAATTTATATTTATACACACCCACACGGTATGCACAGTACGTCAACCTGTCAGCTTCACAGGGATCTTTTTATTTTACGTTTTTGGTTTACTGATGTGTCCAAGTTCTTAGAATAATGCCTGGCTAAGCGCTCAGTCTATATCCATCATATACATAGCATAACTCTTTGAAGAGGGTCATGGTCTTAATTGTTAGAGAGGGGACAATACATAGTTGTTAGGACAAGGTGATGGTGACATTCACGGGTATTGAGGCGAAGGGTGGTTGAGTTGGGTGGGGTGTATGTCGGGAAGTAGTGATGATGCTTGAGCTGAACCTCAAGAGCAGCTGACTAAAGACAGTGGTGAGCATGGTAGTGGAGGAAAAAACCAATGGAGAGAAAAACAACGTAGATATGAAATAAACTCCTACAGTGGTTCTCAGACTGTAGGAGCCGCAGAATCACCTGGAAGGTCCGGGGTAGGACCCCAGCATTTACATTCCCGACAAACTTCTGGGGTGACACTGATGTTGCTCAGTACCACACTTAAGAAGCACTACAGCCTATTGTATGAGTGAGGTTGGATGAGGTGAGGCGTTAGGGGCGTGTAGGCTATAAAGTAACTTTTTAAAACGAGTTTTAGAAAAAGAGTTACGGTTTAATTCATTGTGATTCAGAAGTTGCAACCAGTTGTGTACTGGGAGTTACTATCTATACCTTTTCATGTGGCTCTTCATTCCTTTTTTGAAGCTCCTTGGGTATAATTTTAAGCTTCAAAAAGGAATTATTTTGTTACTCTCTTCTACAGTGTACTAAAAAAGAAAAAAACAAAATTGAAAAACTGTCTCCAGATTGGAACAAGCAGAACATATTTTCTGTTACGAGTAAATGTGACATTTTCGGAACTCCCAAACCCTGGCTTCAGTTTGTCTCTTTTCGTTCTGATAACCTTGTTCTTTTTCTTGCTGGCGGTAACTACATGGCTATTGCTATGATAATGCTGAGTTAACTTACTGTAGGGACTTTAGATTTCCCAATCTAGCAAAATTGACTATTTTTGTTCATTTCAGTATATTTGATTAGTTGAAAGCTAGGAGGTAAATTTTCAGCAAGGTGCATGGAGATTTGGCAGTATGACTCCTATTAAACTTAATGGGAGCCACAACTCCCATTAAATTAATAGGAATTGTACAGCATATCTGTGTTCGCTGCAGAGCAAATGTAACCTTGGTTTTAAAATTCACAAATTATGTAAATTAACATTGGGTTAAAACAATGTATTTTTTTAAAAAATGATGTTCTTTATATTTTTAGTGCAGAGCAATGTGATTTTACTCCTTAAG